GTATTAGGAAAGGCACAGCACGTGGCTCTGCCATGGTTGCAATGTCAGCTAGATCAGCAGCGCGTAGGCGCTATGCTTGCTGTGCATTGCACAAGATGTTATGCATCTGTTGCGTTGTTGTCTGTGATGATAAACACCCACTCGTGGAGCTGGACCAGCTGCTTCGCAGTTCTATCACAAACTAGAGTTTACAGCCAAATCAACACGGCTCGGGCCTAATGGTGTGCGCCAATCAAATTGGAGCACCTGTACCCCTCGATCTGACGCACAAAGTCGAGATACATCAATTCTTTGTGACGCGAGAATTTGCATTACAGGCGCGACTAGGGAAAAGAGGCATTGAGACACAAATGTCCACAAAGGAATGCAGGCTCGCCCGTAAGGTAGCCACAACCCAAACATTTTGTATCATGCCTACAACAGTAGCCTGAAGGAGCTACAGCACAAATATGTAGTTGAGGAAAAACATGGGCATGCTATTACATAATCGGGTCCCATTACCCAATCATTTCGCACACAACAAAGTTAAAAGTCTATGCTTCACACTCCAAGCATCAGGAGCAAGAGGGTGGCAACAGCAGCAGCAGCCGAGAGGTTGATGGCAGCAGCAATGAGAGTGCAAGGGGCAGATGCTGATGGGGTCTTGGGAGCTGGCGTTGCAGCCGATGCTGCAACTGATGCTGGTGCTGCAACTGATGCTGGTGGTGCTGCAGTTGATGCGGGTGCTGCAATTGATGCTGGTGCTTCAGCCGATGCTGGTGCTTCAGCCGATGCTGGTGCTTCAGCCGATGCTGGTGCTTCGGTGGGTGCTGAGACTGGAATGTGGCCACAGATATAGATTGGACAGAGTTGAATCGAATTCCGCAAAGCATATCCCTCCAACCAGCCATTTTTGGAAGGCTTGTTTGGAGCTACTGTGACACTGCCATTGTGTGTGTGTGTGTGTGAATTTGTGTATTGTGTGTGTGTGTGTGTGTGTGTATGTGTGTGTGTGCGTGCGTGAGAGTGTGTGTGCATTCAATGCAGCGTAGAGACTCACATGCATGGGGTGTGCAGGAGGAGCAGAAGGAGAAGCAGAGATGGCAGAAGCTGGTGGTGTTTCTCTGCTGCACCACACACTTGCTGCCCTCTGCAGGGCAGGTCATCCCCGTGCCCGAGATGTTCCTGGGGGTGAGTGGGGTGGGGGGGGGGGGGGGGGGGGGGGGAGGGCGGAGGATGGGAGAAGGGAGAATAAAAAACACACTCCTGTAGGGCAGGTCAGCCCCGTGCCCGAGACGTTCCTGCGGGGCGAGGGGGGGGGGGGGGGGACGAGGGAGGAAAAAAAAAACACTTATACAGATTTCACGATCACAGAATCCTATCGCTTTTTACAGGAAAAGGCGTGGCACAACAGTGGGAGCAGTGGGGTTCAGCAGCATGTACACGTTTGCACAGCAGGATTTACTTAACTCCTGTGCTGTTCAGTCAGCAAAGCTTCTACCCCTATCGAGACAAGCTCGGATAAAGCTTCTCCTCAGCCAAAACTACACATGGATAGAACCACGTAAAAGCGATGGGAAATGCAAGAGTCCTTTGGGCACCGGAATATATGTTGGACAAATACTACACAAGAACGAATGCCTCAACCAGCATGCACATGAAAACATTATGCCAGCCCAAATGCATTCAGTGAGTATCTGGTCAAATACCACATGCAATATCGATTTGGAGCTTATCAGTTACATGCCCGCTTATAGAGGAACAATACAGACTTAATACGTGTGAGGCAAGAAGGGATGATGCAGTATGCGGCATTGAGGAGTGCATGCAGACAAGAGGCCAGTCAACACCACAATGGTGACAATGATTCGAGTAGGGGGGGCCACAATAGGAGCATACGGGATGTATTAGTGAGACTGAAGCACGAAACATGGAAGCTGTAAGAGCATTGTCAGAAGAGCAGTCACATGTATGCTTGTAGTGGACGGGGAGTGGTTGTGCTACTCACAGGGACGTCAGATTGACAAGGCTGCCCAGGCTAGCAAGTATGGGGCCACTAAAGTTGTTGCCTCCAAGGCCCCTGCCATACCATGCCATGCCATACCATGCCATGCCATACCATGCCATGCCATACCATACCATGCCATGCCATGCCATGCCATGCCATGCCATGCCACACGTGCATGCCAGCCAACAAAGCGCATCAGCTTCTTGCAAGGGTTTCTGTGAAAATAACTGGTGTGGTTCCACGTTGTGGATTGCAGCAGAAGTGCTTCGTTCGCCGATGCTGTCAAGGCCAGGACAACGTGTGCACAACCCATTTGTCAAGGAATCATTTGTGCCCTGCTGCACAACAGCACCACTTCCTTGATCATAAAAGGGCTGTTGGAGGCTCACAGGAGCTCCAGCGATGCAAGGCGGGAGATGGAGTCAGGGAGGGAGCCATTGAGCTGGTTGTCGCTCACATTGCTGGGGACTCAGTGGGGCATGGTCGCAGTGGGTGGTTGTGGGAAGGGTACGGAGGGGAGAGATTGGAGGAATGAGGACAGGGGGAAGAACAGGGGGGTGGGAGGGGGGGGGGGGGGAGACGGGGGGGAAGGGGGGAGGGGCGAGGGGAATGAGGATCCAAGCTACAAGTGGCTTCCAATCCCTCAAAGGACCGCAATGCTAGATTTAATGCAGCATGTGGCAGCTAGATTAGATCTGGGCCCGTTGAATGGGTGAAGATACCGGAACTGAATTACAAGAACGCACGAAGCGCTCACATAGATGAATAAGCCCCTGAGAAGCAAAAGGGGAGAAGGAGGACGAGGTGATGATCTCACAGCACAAGTAGAGAAGGGATGTTCCACGAAGCAATAGGAAGCGGGCCAGAGAATGCATTGCCTTGCAGTTCACTGTGTGGGGGCATGGGTTGCATGGGATAGGGATGGTGGAATAAATATTGGTATGTCTGAAAGGGGCTGTTTACGGTTGCACACACACACAATGAGAATTCGTGCCGTTTCTTAGTGAAATGAATAAAGATGCAATGAAGGAGCCAGCATATCCTCTGAAACACGCACGCTCCTAAACCCTACAATCATATCGGAGCAACTTCAAGGAGCGCTTACAGGGAAGCGAGGCCTCCGGAGACGTTAGAAGGAAGAGGCCCGTGGAGCTGGTTGTGAGCCATGGCGCTGCAGAGAGCACATGGGCGATGGTGGAAGGACGTGACATGATGGTATGGTAGCATGCTCAAGAAGCGTATGTGTTTCTCATGCGGTCACACCTCTGTTTCCTTGCCGCATGCACCATCTCATGGTTAGGTGCATGCATTTCACGTCCATTTCCCGCTTGCATGCTAGGCTCTCTTCCATTCCATAAGGGGTAGCATGGCACAGCAAGACAGTGTGGGTCCTGGGAATGTCGTGTAGCCTTGCAACCCATTCTGCTTGAATACGATATTCGTTGTACATTTGTGTTGGGGAACCCCTTGTGGTGGGTCCTCCAAACGTAAACAATTTGTTGGTCAGTCCAATCACATCTGCGACCAGTTGTACCATCACCAGCACCTCACAAGTAGGTTGCTCACTGCAAATAAATTCATAAGAAAATCTGGAGACTCAGTTTACCTTCTTCATGTGCAGTGCAGCTCCTTTCCTTCCTCATAAACCGAGGAGCTCATGGGATGAGTGGTGGCACTTATAGGACGTTGAGAACTCACAGAGGATTGAGTTACTCACAGGGTCCTGAGGGGCTCCATGGTCCAAATGGCGTGAGGAACAACGCCAGAGAAGCGGTTGTGGGAAACGTTGCTGTTGGCACAGGTGAGCAACATTGGCAAGGAAATGCTACAGGTTTTTACGAGGAAAGGGCATCTGATTTCGAACAAGGTATGGCCAGTTCAATTGCGAGAACAAGGTATGCATATGCCACTTACAAATGAGCCAGCATCTCCATCTGAGCAATTTTTGGTGTAAGGGGTCCTGAAAAGTTGTTGTGTGCGAGGTTGCTGCATGCAATAAAGGGCATGGCTAGGACGCAATAAAGGGTATGGCTAGGATGCAATGAAATGAGTGGCTTGGATGCAACGAAATGAGTGGCTTGGATGCAATGAAATGAGTGGCTTCGATGCAATGAAATGAGTGGCTTGGATGCAACGAAATGAGTGGCTTGGATGCAATGAAATGAGTGGCTTCGATGCAATGAGATGAGTGGCTTGGATGCAAATGGCAACATGTTATCTGCACGTGGAGGCACAAATGCGTGATACGGAAAGAAGAGGTCTGCAAAGCATGGTTGAGAACGGGTTACATGGTTTCAGCTTCAGAGAAATCCCTGATTTCCTGTTGCGCCAAAATGGAGGGAAAAGGTCCAGTGAAGCTGTTGTTAGACACGTCACAATGGAGGAGGAAATGAAGTGGGGGAAGGTGGGCAATGATGCATGCAGCCGGTGAGATGATGAAGGAAAGAGGATGGGAGGGGGTAAGGTAGGGATGAGCATGTTACCGAACGCCTGTTCGGTTCGCCTCGAACATGTTCGAGGCGAACCGAACAGGCCTTTTTTTTTTTTTTGGCCCATTTCATGATCTCAAACTCAGATCGCTTTTACTCCCTAGCCCGCCCTCACAAAGTCGCCCTAGCCTCGTTGTGTTAGAAGCTTGGGCACATCGTTACCACGAAGCTACTGGTGCATTAGATATAGGGTTTCCCATACGGTACTTTGTTTAGGGTAGTCACGACTCACGACTCTCAAACAAGACAATGGTTTAGTGGCTTAGCGATCAGATCAAGCAGCGTGTGGTCAAAGAGAAGGGATCGGGTAGGGCTAATCCTCCTCGTTCCGGGGCTGTAATTCGTTTCGGACCGTGCATCACGTCCCTCGCTACCACGTCAGAAAGGGGGTTTTAGGGTTTTAGGGCGGAGGGCGGAGGGAGTTATGGCTTCCAGCCATGGTGGATCTTTAGAGCGACGTGCGGGCAGCGCTCAGGGCGGCGCATTAGGTTCTCCATCACGCCCTATGGAGGGGCGAGCAGGGGATGGACCCGGAGGAGCCGGCGCTTGCTTTCTGGGGGGGGTTTCTTTCCGTAGCGGCGCCGACATCTCGTCACTCGTTCCGTTACAGCGGGGCTCGACCCCCTCCTTCGGGGCAGACGGTGCCGGAGAGTGCCAGTGTGGAGGAGGATGAGGAGGAGGAGGGAGAGGGGGACGCGGATGAGGATAATGAGGGGAGCGGGGATGACAGCGAGGCTGGGTGGGACCCAGAGACGCATGGCAGTGGGGAGGGGGGAGAAGATGACGAAGACCACGAGATGGATGGGTTGGAGCCAGAGGGGCGGGAGGAGGAGGTGGGAGAGGGTGGTGGAGGGGCGGCAACCGAGGCGGGATCACAGCTTGTCCGTGAAGGGGGAGGGAGCGTGGGGGTTAAGGTGGGGAAAAAGGCCGTGACCATTAAGGCCCCAATGCATAGAAAGAGAGCGAACAAGTTGAGGGAGCGGGCGTATCCATTCACGTTCACTGGGGAGCCCTTAGGAGAGGGTGTGATTGCTCCGGAGTTCCTAGATGAGGACGGCGGGTCCGAGAGTAGTATGGGGACTGGCAAGGGGGGTAACAGGAAACCGGGGTGGCAAGTGCACATGTTCGGACCGAAAGGGGCAGACGAGAAGCGTCAGTGCAAGATTTGCATTGACAAGATTTCGTGGAAGCAGTCCACAACCACACCCGGCGAGCGGCACTTCGCGAGCCACCACACAGCGCACATGCACGTATGGCATCACCGTTACCACACCCCGTCCCTTCATTTGCCAGGGGAGACGTTTCCACGAGGGGGCTACAAGGGCGTGCCGGATGGCTACGTACAGCAGTGGGCGCATGCCAAGTCTTGGCCGCATCTCCCCAAGAAGAAGGGGAAGGCGTCTGATGGCGGACCAGGGTCAGCGGTTCATGTCCACCAAGCTGACCTCGGTGGAGCTACGGCAGGCGATCGCCAAGCTAGTGGTCACCTGCGACCTCTCATTCCGCATCGTCGAGGCCGATGCTGTGAGTGCCCCATCCTGTGCATGCCATACGAAATGGATTGGGCAGTTTGTGGCCACTGTTATTGTTAGACCCTGTGTCATATTATGTCAAGCACATTTCTAAAACGTTGACTCCCCTCTCCCTCGTTGTCTCTACCCCTCTCCAGTTTCGGGAGCTCCTGATCCTGCTGAACCGCAATTGTGCGCAGAAGAACTTCATCCCTTCGCGCTGGACGGTTTCCCACGACACTGTGGTCTATGCGGCTGCCGCTCTTCATGTTAGAGACTAAGGACGGAGTCTATGAAGATTAGGAGCCAAAATATCTCAACATCGTTGGGCCTAGTTTCTGAACAGAAACGTCGAGTTCACAAGAAACGCTGTCGACGAAAATTTCACGGTTAAAACTTCACCAAACTCAGATATGTTGTAGCTCTACTCCGTGGCTACAATTCCCAAGTTGAATCGTACGAAAAGATGAAGTGTGTCTTGAGTTATCGATTTCGGCGCACTAGGGGGTATGCTGCCATAGAATCTTAACTCAATCACAAAGTTCACACAAGTTCCACAATTACCACACAAGGAAGTTAGAGTAGCACTAAACCAGGTGGAAGGGATGAGTAGGATGAGAGGGAAGGTCCCAAGAGTGTCCCCAACCAAGGAAACCCCATGCCACACAATTCCCTTCCCCATAGGCAACCCAACTTTGACCTTTGTCACTATCCCAACCTCCACAATCCACCTCAACCCAACTTGGCCACACTTGCCAACCTGGTTTGGTTTCACCCAACCATTTGGCAGCAACTACAGTAGAAAAGACGAATTTCCCAACCCCCAAAAGTCTGTACCCCATATTGAGTCAACCCCACAACTTCCCACAGTTGCCACAATCAAATATGAAAAGCATACGAACTCCAACGTTCGTAACTTTCTTGCTCGTGCTCCGATTGAAGCGATACTTGATTCGTCGGAAAGCTCTTGAGCAGAGGAGTCACTTCAGATATCTGCTCAAGCCAAATAACATTCACACACACACACACTCAGAAAAACCAAACCGCACAAAACACAAATTCTTGCACACACTCACAACACGCATGCAACGCAGGAACATATGATGGGAGGCAGACAGACGTGAATGCGAATGGTAGCATCACTCAACAAACTCCCCCTCTGGCTGCCAACCATCATCCCACATGCCATAGCTCAAGCATGCATCCTCAATGCACACTCATCCCAGCAAGCTTCATGCCCTTCCAATGCTCAGATTCAGCCAGGCGCTTGGTGAGAATGTCAGCCGCCTGCTGATGGGTCTTCACAATCTCCAGCCGCACCTCCTTGTCCAGGAGCCTCCTCACCCAGTGCCACTCAAGCCTGATGTGTTTGGTCAGCCCATGAAGACAAGCATTCTTCGCTAGCTTCACCGCCGACTCATTGTCACAGAAAATCACAGTCGGCTCCCTCTGACCAACTCCAATCTCCTCCAACAAACGCCTCAGCCACACCACCTCCTTGGCCCAATGATGCAGGGCCATGTACTCTGTCTCACACGAGGACTGCCCCACTTCATTCCGCTTCTTGCTGCGCCAGCTCACTGCACCTCCTCCAAAAAGGCACACATAGCCTCCAATGCTGGTGCCATCCGCCTTCACAGAGTTGAAGCTGGCGTCGGTGTAGCAAGTCAGGAGCATCTCCCCCTTGCCCAAATCAGCTGCACCCCTCTGCAGCCTCTGTCGCACAGCACTGTACTCCAAGCCAACTGATGCCGTAGCGCTCACATAGCGGACCAACCTCTTGGCCGCTTCCAGCTGCTCATGACTGGGGCGTGCAACCACACTTGCAAGCCTGGATGTAGCAAAGGCAATGTCAGGCCGCGTGTGGTTAGCCGCATAATTGAGTGCCCCCACCATGGAATGAAACAGCTTCCTGTCACTCTCACCCACCACCTCCTCATCAGCACAGGGCTCCACAGTGAACCCCAAAGGCAGTGGGGTGGCTGGCTTTCCTCCATCTTGCAGCCCATACTTCTCAGCCAGCCCCTCACAATACTTTCTCTGGTGCAACCTCAACACTCCCTTGTCAAGGTCCCTCTCCACATGCATCCCTAAATAGTACTTCACATCTCCCATCTTGGAGCACTTAAACTGCATCTCCAGCATCTCCTCCACATGCTCAATCATTGCAGACGACTCAGAGAAGAGCAGGATGTCATCCACATACACCAGGAGCATGAGAAACTGCTCCTTCTGCAGCAGGAACAAGCTGTGATCACACTCACTCTTCTTGAAACCCCCAGCCAGCAGAGTCTCCTCTAACTTGTGGTACCATGCACGAGGAGCCTGCTTCAGGCCATAGATGGCCTTCTTCAGCCTGCACACCCTGCCGCTCCCATCATCCAAACCCTCAGGCTGTAACATGTACAGCTCCTCCAGAATGATCCCATTGAGGAAGGCGGTGGTGATGTCCATCTGCTTCACCCGCCATCCACGGTTTGCTGCCATTGCCAATGACACCCGAAGTGTTGTGCCTTTCCCCACAGGAGCATAGAGCTCGTTGAAGTCCTTTCCCTTTGTCTGCTGAAACCCCTTAGCCACAAGCCTTGACTTGTAGCGGGTCAGCGCCCCATCAGGTCCGTACTTGTGCCTGAAAATCAGCTTGGAAGAAATGGCCTTCTTCCCAGGTGGCAGCTCACACAGCTCCCACGTCTCATTCTCTAGCAGAGAATCATACTCCTCCTTCACACTCTGCTTCCACTTTTCAGCATCGGGCCCGCTCAATGCCTCAGCTAGCGTCTTGGGCTCAGGGACGGCTGCCCAGTAGCAGTGTGCTATCTCATCCTCATCAAACTGCTCAGCCACACTCCCAGCCCTTACCACCTTTGGCTTGCCACGGCTTGCATAGGTCAGCCTGTTAGGAGGGCGCACATCCCTCCTAGGATGGTCAGCCGTACGTCCGGCACCTTGTGGAGCACCTTGCTCCTCCTGCTGCTGCTGCTGCTGCTGCTGCTGCTGCTGCTGCTGCTCCACCTCAGGTTCTCCCCCATCATCAGTCACCCCAGAGATCTCCTCCTTGGAGACAGAAACCTCCACCTGCCTCGAAGGCCGCTGCACCTCATCGGCCTCAATGATCAGTGGTGTTGTAGGAAGCTTCTGCTGCTGCTGCTTCCACTCCTTGTAGAACAAGGACTCAAGGAACTTAACATCCCTTGACACAGTCAGTTGCTGGCTCGTCAAGTCCCATATCAACCAGCCCTTGTGGTCCTTGGCAAGCCCCAAGTGCACACCCCATCTCCCAGAAGCTTCCAACTTTCCCCTCTTCTCCTTCGGTACATGAAGCACCACCATGCAGCCATAAGTTCTCAGCATGTTGACTGCAGGCGCACTCCCATACCACTTGGTGTAGGGGACCCATTGCTTGTCCCCCACAGTCGCCAGCACCCGGTTCTTCACAACAACGACCTGCCGCAGTGCTGTCACCCAAAACGGATCCGGCAGCCCTGCACGCCCAAGGAGAGTGCGAGCACCTTCCTGCAGGGTCCGGTTGAACCGCTCAGCCATGCCATTTTGCTGAGGGTTGTAAGGCACTGTGAGCTGATGCTGGATCCCCTTCCGCTTCAGCTCCTTCTCAAAATCAGCGCCGATGAACTCTCCTCCGTTGTCAGTGCGGATCACCTTCACCTTGTGTCCGCTTTCCCTTTGTGCTCTCGGCATCCACTCCTTAAGAACAGCCGCTGCCACCTCCCCCTTAGTCTTGAGAGGGTACACCCACACCGCACGCGTGTGGTCGTCCACAATCGTCAAGAAGTAGCGGCTGCCCGAGAGAGAAAGGGCCCTTGTGGGGCCCACCACATCCATGTGCACTAGTGCAAGTGGTGCCTTGGCTGGTCCTGTGCTGCTGCTGAAGGGAAACTTCGTGAATTTGGTCTCAAGGCAGGTAGGGCAGCTCCCAATCTCCTTTGCTCCCCCCTTCACCTCCAGCCCCTTCAAGCACCCATCCTTTACCAACTTCTGCAGCATAGGAATGTTCACATGGCACAGCCTCTCATGCCACGTCTCCCAATCAGCCTCACCACTCCCAGATGAAGCCTTTGCCCATGCAGCTGTCGCATCCACACCAGCAAGCACCTCACCATGTGGCTGCTGTGGCTGCTGCACCTTCTTGACTGCATCCAGGGCCCCAGCAGCTGGTGCAGTCTCCTCTCCTCCCGCAGTTGCTTTAGCCGCTGCCGCTGACTTTGCCGTTGCTGGTGGTTTCCCCTTCCAAGGGATGATGGGCAGCTGCCACAGGTCCTTGATGCAGCTGCTCTTCTCCTCCAAGTTCCACAGCAACAACTTCCCAAGCTTTGCACGGCAGCTGGTTGGGCCGAAGGTAACTTCAGCCTTGCTCTTCTGCAGCCGGCGCACAGAAAGAAGGTTAGCGGACAAACCTTCAACCAACAGCACATTCCCAAGCCCCACAAGCTCTCCATTGGCTCCCATCACCTTGGCATTCCCAACACCAATCACAGGGAGCAAAGCACCTGAAGCGGCAGCCACAAACTTGATCTTCCCAGGAGGTTTTACCTCATCAAGCAAATCTGCCCGTGGGGTCATATGACTCGTGCAACCTGAATCGATCACCCAGTGAGTGAGGGGGTGCATCACAACCTTCCCAACTGAACCCATATCACCCCCACTCCCTTGCACATCCTCAACCATGAGGAACATCCCAGGGTCGGCTTTACCTTGTGCACCATCACCTTGTGCACCTGATCCTTGCACAGCGCCACCGCGTGCACGTTCACCACTTGGCGGCTTCATGCCTGGAGGGGCCCATCCCTCAGGCCGGCTGAAACACTTGAACCACGGGTGTCCAGCCTTCTTGCAGTACCAGCACGCACCCTCCATTCGGGTGCTCCCCCTGCCACCAGAGCTCCCATGCCCCTCATTGTAGTCACCTCGGCCTCTCCCTCTGCCAAAGCCTCTCCCACGGCCTCGGCCTCTCCCTCCCCCCTCTTCCTCTGCTGCCTCCTGCAGCTCCATACCCCTCAGCAGTTTTGTTGGCAGCACCACCTCCCGTGTGGCGCCTGCGGAAGTCCTCTTGCAGAATCTGCTGCCGTAGCCACTCAGGCGTCCATTTGTCCTGCTGAACGTTGAGGGTGGGGATGAGGTTGTCCCACGAGTTGTCGAGCACCGAGATGATCTTGGTGCACTGTTGCATCTGCGACACTTCGCTGCCCGCCGCTGCCATCCTCGCATAGGTGTCCTTGATCTTGTCAAGGACCGGTTTCACATCATCTCCCGGTTTCATGGAGAGGGCAGCCAACTCCTTCTCCAACACAATCACCATCGGCAGCGTGTTGGGCTGAATCACGTCGCGTAGCAGCTTCCATGCCTTCGGTCCGGAATCATCCAACTCCACCAAATCCTTGATGTGCTGGAACATGTCGTTGTTGACCGATTGGAGGATGAGGTCGTAAAGCACCGCGCTCTTCTCAATCCACCGATCGCGGGCATCTCCTTCCCCCGGCATCTTCTCCTCTCCCATTGCAATTTTCAGCAGCTTGTAGCGCTTGAAGGCGCTCCGCATCCGCCCGCTCCATTCCTCATAGTTGGAGCCATCCAAAGCTTCGATCTTGGATGGTGGCGGTTCACTCCTCTTCTCAGCTGCATCTCCACTCCCTTGATTCATCTCCTCTGCTTCCAATCAGAGGTTTCAGCTCCCCACTTTGCTGGTCACAATGTAGATCCACACAATCTTCACAAGTGTCGGCGCCAACGAAATTTCGGCAGAGTTTCCCCTTAGCGGAAGTCACATCCAACCTCCAGAACTCCACTTAGGCACGCCCACAGGCCATGGTGGGTCTAGGAGGGTCTTCACACTTCAGTAGACTCCTCATAGGGTCCTTAATCAGCTCTGATACCACTTGTTAGAGACTAAGGACGGAGTCTATGAAGATTAGGAGCCAAAATATCTCAGCATCGTTGGGCCTAGTTTCTGAACAGAAACGTCGAGTTCACAAGAAACGCCGTCGACGAACATTTCACGGTTAAAACTTCACCAAACTCAGATATGTTGTAGCTCTACTCCGTGGCTACAATTCCCAAGTTGAATCGTACAAAACGATGAAGTGTGTCTTGAGTTATCGATTTCGGCGCACTAGGGGGTATGCTGCCATAGAATCTTAACTCAATCACAAAGTTCACACAAGTTCCACAATTACCACACAAGGAAGTTAGAGTAGCACTAAACCAGGTAGAAGGGATGAGTAGGATGAGAGGGAAGGTCCCAAGAGTGTCCCCAACCAAGGAAACCCCATGCCACACAATTCCCTTCCCCATAGGCAACCCAACTTTGACCTTTGTCACTATCCCAACCTCCACAATCCACCTCAACCCAACTTGGCCACACTTGCCAACCTGGTTTGGTTTCACCCAACCATTTGGCAGCAACTACAGTAGAAAAGACGAATTTCCCAACCCCCAAAAGTCTGTACCCCATATTGAGTCAACCCCACAACTTCCCACAGTTGCCACAATCAAATATGAAAAGCATACGAACTCCAACGTTCGTAACTTTCTTGTTCGTGCTCCGATTGAAGCGATACTTGGTTCGTCGGAAAGCTCTTGAGCAGAGGAGTCACTTCAGATATCTGCTCAAGCCAAATAACATTCACACACACAGTCAGAAAAACCAAACCGCACAAAACACAAATTCTTGCACACACTCACAACACGCATGCAACGCACGAACATATGATGGGAGGCAGACAGACGTGAATGCGAATGGTAGCATCACTCAACACTTCAGTCAGCCATTGCGGAGCTGCTGGCAAAGGAGGGGGAGTTGGGGTGCAAGGTGTCGTACACCATCGACATGTGGACGGCACCCAACAACAAGGCGTGGCTAGTGGTTACTGGTCACTGGGTGGACGAGAACTTCCAGCTGCGCACAATGGTGCTAGAGTTCCGCGAGATACACGGGCGGCATACGGGCAAGGAGATGGCTAGGGTGGTCGAGGAGATGGTGGTGCAGTGGGGGTTGGAAGAGCGTTGTCTTGGATTCACCTCTGACAACGCCTCTAGCAACACAGCCGCTTTCAGGCGGATGTCGGAGGAGGGTGGTGGTCTGTGCTTCTTCAACTCGCGCATGCACTTCCGGTAAGAATGAGAGTGTGCGTGGGGTGGGTGGATCTGTGGGTGTTTGGGTGCGTCGTTCCTGCGTTAACAACTTGTTGTGGTTGTACGGGCGGGTGAGCCACTACGGCTCGAGTGGTAGGGTCACTGGGTCTGGTATGGGTCTATGGCGGGCTATGCCTATCTGTGCTCACACTTCCCTCTTGTCCGCCTTTCATGTGGTGTGCCATGCGCAGTTGCTTGGCACACGTGATCAACCTTGCAGTGAAGGCAGCTCTAGCAGTGGCTGCCATCCGCAAGTTGTTGAAGGTGCTAAGAGAGATGGCGTCGTGGATTGGCTTCTCGCCGCAGCGCTCAGGGAAGTTCTTGGGCCTTCAGCGGACCTTGAACGCGCAGGCTAACCCCCCGAAACCGAAGCAGGCGTTGAAGCTGGTTTCGGACAGTCCTACGCGCTGGGGGTCGACCCACGACATGCTCGAGCGTGCAGGGGTTCTCCAGGAACCCATCACTGTCTTCTTTGCCCAGACACAGGTGTGTGTGACGGAAGTTGTGTGTTTGCCTTAACGTGCGGGTGTATCAGGGTGTTGTGTTCTAGCAATTACATCACTGTTGGCCATGCTTGTCGTGTGGTATATGACCCAAAACCCCTCAGTAAACCCCCCCCCCCCGTTTCCATTTTACCACACGCCAAACCATACCCTCTCCCCGACAGGGCTTGTCGAAGGCAGACAAGGCAAAGGTGGAGAGCCTCAAGCCGACGGACGCAGACTGGGAGACTCTGCATGCTGTCAAGACGTTCCTCAGTCTATTCGCCAAAGTCTCAAAGGCGGCGGAGGGAGCGGCGTACCCTACAGTGGCGATGGTTCTGCCGTACTACAACGGCCTCATCGACGCTATGGAGTCGCGCCTCGCCAAGGGGCCATCGGCGACGCTGAAGCCGATGATTGAGGCGGCGCTGGGTCTCTTGAAGAAGTATGAGCTGATGTCCAGCAACGAGTTGTGGATCGCCACCTTCCTGGACCCTTCCATGAAGGCGGCATGGTTCGACGACCCGCACTGGGAGACGCTGCATCCCGAGACAGACCGGAGGTCGAGGCCGCGTCCCTCATCAGGCGAGGTGATCCAGCTGGTACGCGACCGCGTGACCGAGTACCAGGCCCGGGCTGCGGCTCTTGCACCTAGACCGACCCCACTTGCCCTCGTGACGGAGGAGGGGGAGGGGGACGCGGCGGATGACGACGAAGACGCGGAGTTTCTCCCTAGTCGCCGACGACTTGCGGCGCGTCTGTCAGCGAGCCAGGCGGCGGGGAGGGGTGGGATGGTGCAGGATGACGAGGTTGGTAGGTATCTATCTGAGAGGGTGCGGTGCGACGTGTCAGCGTTGGAGTACTGGCGCACCGCCACCAACATGCAGACGCTGCGCCGCATGGCCCGGGATTATCTCGCCATCCCTGCCACGTCCGCCTCGAGCGAGCGCGTGTTTTCCCTTGGCCGCAACCTCATTTCCTGGAAGCGGCACCGCCTGGCCTCCCAGAGGACGCGAGCTGTCATGATTCTCAGGTCATGGTACAGCTCACACCCTGGACAGAGGATAGGCGAGGGCCGCCGAGCAAAGGGCGTCGCACCACCAGAGTTCGCCATTGAAGGCGAGGGGGAGGAGGAGGAGGACGAGGAGGAGGAGGAGGAGGAGGGGGAGGAGGAGCAGGAGGGTGTGGGTGTTGACGACACCGTTGGCGGGGAGCATGCTGTTGTTGGTAGTAGCAGTGGTGCTCAGGTGTAGGACTCTATTGGTCTTTGACTCTTATATTTGCTAGAACAAGACGGTTTAGTATGTTTGTGTGCGTTGCATGAACACAGATACACCCTGCGAACCACTGTCTATCTTCCCCACCCTCAAAACACCCTGTCGGACGACTGTGACTATACGAAACTCCCCAAAGTCGAACCCGAACATGTTCGCCTCGAACATGTTCGGGTTTGCCAGCATAATCAAATAGTTCGGCCCCCCTGGCGAACGGCGAACACCTGCCGTAAGGCAAATAGTTCGCCGAACCGAACCATGTTCGGTTCGAGAAAAGCATGTGTTCGACAGGGGGCAAACTCGAACATGTTCGAGTTCGCCATCTGCTCATCCCTGGGGTAAGGAATACATGAAAAAAGGGGGAGTATAAGGAGAAACTGTGCAATGGATGATATTGGTGTATCAGCAAGTCACAGAAAATTCATTTGCCAGCTGATTAAATCTTGCCAATTCACAATGCAGAAGCCACCTAAGACATTTGTGGTATCTCTTTACCACACAAATGCACAAATGCGGAAATTATAGTGGAAGAAGTTGCGTCTAAGTAAATACTGGACCAAGAAGCAGAAAAACGGGATCAAAACCCCAATCACGTGTAGCTCAAAACACGTTGGCGTGTGAGAAAGTCACAAAGTAAACAGTAAGTGGAACCTGAATCATACTTAGGAGTGCAATGCACCATGTACTCATATGTATCCATGAGAAGCTTACAGCTCATAAACTGACACATCGGAGTGGGATGGAAATGGGCCAGAGAAGTTGCATGATGCGGCATACAACCTGAGGATCAGTCGATGGAAGAAGGGTTGGAGGGTGGGGAGGAAAGAAGGGGGACATGGGAGAGGGGAGGGGACGCAAAAGGGGAACGGTTTGTGTGCGTAGAGTCTAGAGGTCAGGAGGGTAGAATGAGAGAGAAATACAAAGCTGAGAAATCTACTATCAAAGGTGAGGCAAATGAGAGGAGCAAGCAATAGACAGTGCCGTGATATATAACATGTAAACTTCAACTTTTGATGCAACCTTTGCTGATTAACATACCACATGATGATGAATCATTAGGTGTCACTCACGCCATTGAAAAACGACCTGTCTGTTTCAAGAGCCCATCCAAGCCTTCGCTAAGAGGATTGTAGCTGAGGTCTCTGTGGAGGGCATGAAAGACGGTTGGCATGGCAAGCAAGCACTGGTGATGGGGGCATTGGAGTAGAGCGAGAGGCATGCAGTGTGATGGATGGAAAGAGGGGAGGAAGAGCCTCGTGTTTGTTACTGCAAACCCTCGGCTGTTCTGCACGCGTTGTTTAATGGGTGTCGCAGCCTTTGAAGACAGCTTGCAGCCAGCTTGCAGTATAGGTCCTATAGCTGCAAACCCTTTGAAGAAAGCTTGCAGAAGGGGCTCACCCTCCTCCACGCCCTTTTTCCGGCACTGCATTGCCCTTTCACCCGGGCACGTGTGTCCTGCAAACGCTCCTCTATTGGAGGCCACGCCTCGCCTCCGCGCCTGTGGACGTCGGGCCTTGTGGACGTCGGGCCTTGTGGGCTTCTTTTGCAGCTTCGCCCAGCCCCAGCAGCAGCTGATTCCCTCGATGCCGCAGGATGCTTATAGCCAACGCATCCAGCCCGTTGTTTGCAGATACCCTCCTGGCTGACCCATTCAACCAAACCCTTTTTGTAACGAGTACTGCAAATGTCCCACACCTGGGAAATGCCAATGGCGGATGCTTAGAGTTCATTGAAATGACCCGTGGGCAAATATGGTGGGCTCATTTTACCTTTCTCCATTGTCAATCATCCCCCCCTCCTCCCCCCTTCCAACATGTAAGCATGCCGTGCAGGTGGCATGGTGCACGCCGCACAACTCACATGAGATCAGCAGACAATCTGGCAGGCACGGATCCCCTGAAGTCGTTGTGGCTTAAATTTCTGAAGAGTGTCAAGTGGGACAAAGGCATTTTCTTATGAAGATGGGAAGTTTTTATAAGACCATGACGTGGCAAGCACAATGGAACGCAAGGGAGACACAAGCATATGTTGAGTCCAGTCGCGTCATACCTCTTGACTCGTTCTGAACCTGTGAATAAGTCAGGGTAACTTGAATCGAGCTACTTCACGTGCAAGTTAGTGAATCAAGCCCCTGGTCCAAAAGCATAACTTCATGTTCCGGAGATGAGACGGGATGAGTGGAAACGATCAGAAAATAATACAAGAGAGGTGAGCTCCTTTGCAGAGTCATGCCTCCCCCCTTTCTCGCTCTGTACCCCCCTTCCCCTCCTCTACCCCCCCTTCCCCCTCTTTACCCCCCTTCCCCTCCTCTACCCCCCTTCCCCCTCTTTACCCCCCTTCCCCCTCTTTACTCCACATCCCCCTCTCTACCCCCCTTCCCCCTCTCTACCCCCCTTCCCCCTCTCTACCCCCTTCCCCCCTCTCTACCCCCCTTCCCCCTCTCTACCCCCTTTCCCCCCTCTCTACTCCCCTTCCCCCTCTCTACTCCCCGTCCGCCTCTCTATCCCCCTTCTACCTCTCCACCCCCTTTCTCGCTCTGTACCCCCCTTCCCCTTCTCTACCCTACCCCCCTTCCCCTCTCTACCCCCCTTCCCCCTCTCTTCCCCCCCTTCCCCCTCTCTATCCCCCCCCTTCCCCCTCTGTACCCCCCTTCCCCCTCTCTTCCCTCCTTCTCCCTCTCCATGTGATCTCAAACACCCAGGACTCACATTTGCATCGCGTTCAACGCGGTAGGCAGGGTAGTGAGGAGATTGTGGGAGAGGTCTCTGCACGCAGCAAGGGCAGGCAGTGAGAGCCGGCGGAGGGGAGGGGATGTGGAGGGGAGGGCAGTGGAGGGGATGTGGGGTCACGCACGCTGAGATAGGGACGAGAGTGCTCCTGTGCCACTGTTTAGAGGATTGTGCTTCTTTTCATTGCAATGGCCCGTGGGCAAATATGGTGGGTTCATTTTACCTTTCTCCATTGTCAATCATCCCCCCCTCCTCCCCCCTTCCAACATGTAAGCATGCCGTGCAGGTGGCATGGTGCACGCCGCACAACTCACAAGAGATCGGCAGACAATCCGGCAGGCACGGATCCCCTGAAGTCGTTGTGGCTTAAATTTCTGAAGAGTGTCAAGTGGGACAAAAGCATTTTCTTATGAAGATGGGAAGTTTTTATAAGACCATGACGTGGCAAGCACAATGGAACGCAAGGGAGACACGAGCATATGTTGAGTCCAGTCGCGTCATACCTCTTGACTCGTTCTGAACCTGTGAATAAGTTAGGGTAACTTGAATCGAGCTACTTCACTTGCAAGTTAGTGAATCAAGCCCCTGGTCCAAAAGCATAACTTCATGTTCCGGAGATGAGACGGGATGAGTGGAAACGATCAGAAAATAATACAAGAGAGAGACAGGCATCAGGTATCATCAGGTTGTCTCCTCGTGCACTGTGATGTGAACCCCACTCCCAGGCCAGAATGCACTCATTGCCAAGAGCGTGGTGAGTTCCTTTGCAGAGTCATGCCTCCCCCCTCCTCTACCCCCCTTCCCCTCCTCTACCCCCCTTCCCCTCCTCTACCCCCCTTCCCCTCCTCTACCCCCCTTCCCCTCCTCTACCCCCCTTCCCCTCCTCTACCCCCCTTCCCCTCCTCTACCCCCCTTCCCCTCCTCTACCCCCCTTCCCCTCCTCTACCCCCCTTCCCCTCCTCTACCCCCCTTCCCCTCCTCTCCCCCCCTTCCCCCTCTTTACCCCCCTTCCCCCTCTTTACTCCACTTCCCCCTCTCTACCCCCCTTCCCCCTCTCTACCCCCCTTCCCCCTCTCTACCCTTTTCCCCCCTCTCTACCCCCCTTCCCCCTCTCTACCCCCCTTCCCCCCCTCTCTACCCCCCTTCCCCCTCTCTACCCCCTTTCCCCCCTCTCTACCCCCCTTCCCCCTCTCTACTCCCCTTCCGCCTCTCTATCCCCCTTCTACCTCTGTACCCCCTTTCCCCTTCTCCACCCCCTTTCCCGCTCTGTACCCCCCTTCCCCTTCTCTACCCTACCCCCCTTCCCCCTCTCTACCCCCCTTCCCCCTCTCTTCCCCCCTTCCCCCTCTCTATTCCCCCACTTCCCCCTCTCTACCTCCCTTCCCCCTCTCTACCCCCCTTCCCCCTCTCTTCCCCCCTTCTCCCTCTCCATGTGAACTCAAACACCCAGGACTCACATTTCCCTCGCGTTCAAGGCGGTAGGCAGGGTAGTGGTGAGGTGATTGTGGGAGAGGTCTCTGCACGCAGCAAGGGCAGGCAGTGAGAGCCGGCGGAGGGGAGGGGATGTGGAGGGGAGGGCAGTGGAGGGGATGTGGGGTCACGCACGCTAACATAGGGACGAGAGTGCTCCTGTGCCACTGTCTAGAGGATTGTGCTGTGTGCAACAGCTCTGGTATTGGAAAATCACGAGGCAGGGCTGTGAAATTGATGCGGCACTGTCGTGACAGGGTGGAGTGGGTATCGGCAGAACATATGAGGCTTCAGAAAACATGCAACCGTATGGTCCACACCAATTTAGGCTGTTGGGAACACAATGCAACACAGAATATAAGCAGGAAGATCGGAAGAGGTGTTTCTCAGATAGAAAACTGCTGAGAGAGGGAAATGTGCACTGAGAGAGTCTGTCCAGGTGCCACTAATCATGCAAGGTGCCACACGGAGGTGTGTTGCGATCCAAGCCACTCATAAGCGCATGCTAGGAGATGCAAGCTGTGGAGACTCACAAGATATCAAGGTTCGAGCTAGTGATGGAAGGAACGGCACCTGTGAGATTGTAGAAGGAGAGATGCCTGTGTTGTGTGGAGGCAGGCACGCGTGGGGGAGAGGCCAAAGCATGCACGTGTGGAGAAATGCCAAGGCATGCACGTGTACTCTGGATAGACTGTGGCAGTGCAATGCAGCGACTTTGTTCAGTGGAGTGAATGTGTACAAGGGAGAGGCATTATATGAACTGGTGCTTGTGTTGTTGCGATTGCTTATCATCACCGTAGCTTTAACAAAAACACGAGAAGCACGAGGCAGGTCTGTGAAACAAAAGGGCCACGCAGCATTGTCATGACAGGATGGAGTCAGTGGGGTAGAATTTCTGAGGCTGCAATCGCCTCAGTGGTCAGCACCAATATTAGGCTGTTGGGAACACGGCGCAACACAGAAAATAAGCGCCTAATTGCTGTACCTTGCTCAAGTAGCAGCAGGAAGATCAGAAGGGGTGTTGCTCAAGTAGAACGCTGCTGAGAGAGGGAAATGCGCGCTGAGAGAGTCTGTCCAGCAGACTCCATCACCTGATTCCGTTCGGTTGACACTGAGCATGCAAGGTGCAGCACGGAGGTGCGTTGCGATCCAAGCCACTCATAAGCGCATGCTAGGCGAGGCAAGCTTAGGAGACTCACAAGTACTTAAGGGATTTACTAGTGATGGCAGGAACGGTGCCGGTGAGATTGTTGAAGGAGAGCTCCCTGTGTTGTGTGGAGGAATGCACGTGTATTGCGGATAGACTGTGGCAGTGCAATGCAGCGACTTTGTACAGTGGAGTCAATGTGTACAAGAAAGGCATTATATGAACGGGTGCATGCTTGTGGTGATGGACTTGCACTGCACCACTACTATGCCACAACACAAGAGCCACCCTTCACAGATAGAAAAATGACGAGTGAACTGAAAGTCGCATTTAAGAGAGCGGAGAAATAAGACAAAGTTGAAAGGGTAGGGACCTGATACGACAATACACACGTGAGCAAAGCACCAAACCTTGGATTGGCACGTTCATTTGGGTCAAATGTATGGTTAAGGTGAATTATCAGTGGAGCACATGTGAGGACTTACAGTTCTTGCAGGTTAAGGAGGTTCTTGATGCTGGCAGGGATGCTCCCTGAGATGTTGTTAAAATTAAGCTGCCTGGTGGGGCGATTGCAAAGGAGGAGGGTAGAGAAGATGGTGCTGCGGGGTGGGAAACGGCCACAGGAAGAGATTTGCCCACAGTCCTTTGTCTAGCTGGTGAAAGACCGTGGTGCTCACAGCCTGGTGCTTGGGCGTATCGTTTTTACATCCGTCCCTGTTTCAAAAGGTTTCGTTGAAGGACGGGGATAGATGAAGAGGAGACGGGTGGGAAGTCGATGTGAACAGGTCAGTGAGGTTTGCGAGGGAGGCGAGAGTGGGTGGGAGGGGAGACGTACAACTCATTAAGGCCGGAGAGGGCGGAGATGGTGGAGGGGATAGATCCATTGAAGCCATTCAGACCGGCCCGCCTGGAGGTGGAAGGAGAGGGGAGAGTGGACAGGCACACGTACTTGTGTCTGGTGGTGGGGGCACGGAAGTTGGGTCGAGAGCCCTAATGGGCAATGTGAAGATGGAAGGGCGGTGGGGAGGTGGACGCAGTGCTTCTCGGATGGCAATATAATCAACGGAGGGCTTCGAGCGGTGAGCTGAGCAGCACAAGGTGTCAAACCAAGATGGTGGATGCCTCACAACACGTGCAGACGTGTGAGCGCCATCAATTCAGTGGGGAACGGTGCCGAGCGGTGGAAGCTGAAGTTGCCGGTGACGTCCCTGGGCGGTCACGGGCAGGAGGGTGGGGGAGGTACAGAGGACTCCAATCAAGTGGGGAGGCATGGGTGGGAAGCCATGCAAGTGGCATGAACGTACATCTGACGCGTTCCCTCTAGCCATCGTGCACAGCCCTGGCTGACTCTGCCATGCGCCACGTGTGGCCCAATCCGGGTTAGCACAGTAAAGATATCAGAGGGAATCGCTTGATCCAATTGGCACAAAACAGCCAAGGATAACCAGGTACAGCAACCTTTGGCAACGGTTGGGCAGCGACAAGGCAACCAGAGTGAGTGGCAACACTGGAACGGGTTGCGGGTGATGCAGGTGTAGTACACTGTTCATGGCAGAAAATGCTTATTAGATTCGTGGCCGGGTGCGGCGAGGGGCTCGTGGTTCCACTCACAAATGAGTGAGGTTGGAGAGTGTACCGATCCATTGCGGAAAGCGGGTGATGGGGAGGAAACTTAGATCACTGCCACAGAGTGAAAAGGGAGGTGAGACACAGGTGAGGTGGACAGCGGCAGTGCAATGCAACGACTGCTGTCACTGCACCCCCAAGCTCCTGCTGTCCTGCCGGATCAACCATGACACGTCTTGAGAGAGTGCCTATGTGTTTATGGACGAAAAATGTGTTTGCTTCACCTATATCGGCTCAGGCAACTAGGAGATGGATGCATTGCTGCTCATTCAAATTCTGTCATAAGATGCAATGCACTGCAATGCGCTTATGAGATGCATTGCTCTTATGAGAGGCAATGCGCTTATGAGATGCAACGCGCTCATGAGATGCAATGCGCTTATGAGATGTAATGCGATTACAAGATGCAATGGGCTTAGGAGATGCAATGCGCATACGAGATGCAATGCACGTGTGAGATGCAATGTGCTTATGGGATGCAATGCATGCGACGAGCAAGCACATGCCCTTGATACGCTTATGATATGCAATATACTCATCAAGAGCACATTAAGAATGTCACCAAAATCATGGTTTGCTTCGGTAGTTACATAAATGATGCATAATGCGTGGGAGCACGAAGGAAGATACTAGAAAGACTTACAGGTGGGAGAGTGATGTAAGGGCGGATAAAGAGGAAGGGAGCTCTCCGGCCGTCAGGTTGAGACTCGTGAGAGTGCTGAGGAGAAGTGGGTATAACATACAGAGAGGGAGGCATAGCCACGCCACATGATAAAAGTAAATTTAGGTGAGACGCCTCAAAAGTGCAAGAGAGAGGATGAAAGACCATGGTGATGTGGACGCACGAAAGTTGGGGAGCAGAGAAAGTATGAGTGAGTGGTGTGTTGCGACTGAAGCAAGGGCAAGTGGCGTGTGGAAAATGGGAGAGAGGGGGACAGCAGCCGGCGGAGAGCAACTTTAAAGGGTGCTGCGGGTTGCAGGGGACCAGATTCCATACACTATGCTGCTGGACTGACCATTGCGCAATGAATAGAAGCAGTGTTGGCAGAGTAGGAGGAGATGGGCGGGTAGGGATGAGTGAGAGGGGAGGGGAAGGCAGGTAGGGGTGAGTGAGAGGGGAGGGGCAGGCAGGTAGGGAGGGAAGGCACGTACGGATGATTGAGAGGGGAGGGGAGGGGAAGGTGGGAAGAGATGAGTGCGAGAAAGGGGGTGGGAGGGGTGGGGGGGTGAAGGCGAGCACGAATGAGTTAGACGTGGGAAAGAGAAAGGCGGGTAGGGAAGATGCGCAGCGTACAGGTCCTTGAGGCGAGTGAGTGGGGCGAGACACGAGAGGTCGTCCATGGAGCCTTGCATCACAGAGGGGCCCATGAGCGACTGGATCAAGAGAATGCTACGAGACAGACAAACGGCAGAGGGGAGGGAGACGACTCGTCAACTTCTGTGGGCTGCGATTGCACACGGCGTGGGAGAGAGCCACAGCAGCAGTAGTTGCACGGCGGCTAGAGCAGCAGCAGTCCAGTCCAGCATTCACAACAGCAGGGGGTGGAGCAGAGACTCCATGTGCGTAGGTGCATGGATGGAGCAGTGCGCACGTGGGTGCGATTGAGCAGCTTGGATGATAAAAGGCACTGAGGGGTGGCAAGGAAGGAGGCGTGTGAGCTGAGGTGGGAACACACAGCTGGCGCTGCTCCATGAGATGAGCTGCCCTGCTGCACTGTGCCCTGCTGCACAAGGTGCTTTCCTGGAGCATCCCAAGCATCATCTGCACTCTTCAATAGCCATGTTACACTACAAATATGTTGCAGCAGTCAACAGCAAGAGCCCCAAGTCATCCTTATCAGTCTCACTCTGCTGTGTCGCCACTATAGTCTTGATAAACGGGGCCCAACGACTGAGGCTTCCCAATGCGCCTGCATGTTGGGGTCATGCGGAAGGAAGGAAAGGGAAGTCATGGGAAGGAAGCATGTGCACGGTAGCAACTGACTGGTGCGGCATGAAAGAACAAGGAGAAGGGGCTGGCTGGGAAATGGAGGCATAAGCAATGCGCATAAAGCACGTGCCAGCACGAGGTGAAAGTGATGTGCTTGCCAGCTAGGCGGTGGAAGAGGAGAGGGTGGGGAGGTTCAAGAAAAGAGAGGAAGGAAGTTTGGGAAGAGACGTGGAAGGATTAGGAAGGAGGGAAGGGATTTTTAGGAGGAAGGGAGCTTTCAGGAAGGAGAGGTGGGAGATACAGGTATTCGAGTGCAGTGAGGCGACTGAAGCTGGAAGGGAGACTTCCACTGACAGCCAAGCCTGAGAGCTCACTGGGATGGGATGCGTACGAATCGGTGCACAGAAGCACGTGTTACCAGGGGAAGATACGCAGTGGCAGGGAAATAGTTAAGACTCAATTTCGAGAAAAACAGAATCGGAAAAGTTGCGATACGAACTGCCCCCGTCAGCAATACAACACATATGCTGCAAGCTCGGGTTCCCATCCTGCCGTGAGCTGACCAAGGCCTTGGGCTGCACGCCCCCTGCATGCCCTGGAACCAGACCCCCCTCTTACAGGAGCTGCAGACTTGTGGCATTGCCGATGGACTCAGGGATGGATCCATTGAAGGTGTTAGAACCCAGATTTCTGTCATCTGCCATGTAACCAAGTGGATGGGGTAGGCACAGCTCATATCTAGGAGAGCGTGATGGGAGTGGACAGAATGACGTAGTAATGCGAGCATGCCGTTCGTTGCGAGAAGGAGCAATGGTGGAGCGGAATTCGATGCGTACACATATTGCAAGTTGGGGAAATGGCCGAGAATCTCCAGGCTTCCAGAGTACCCAGGCATAGACAGTCCCCTGCAGAGAGGCATGCAATGCAATCGGGCAGGGTGTCTATACGAAAGGGAACCCAAGGGAATCTCAAGATTGGTGCGCAAATGTCGGATAATTGATTATCGAGTTGCGTGTGGAAGACAAAAGCAAGCGATATGTGGGGTACAACGATTCTTCTATTTCGGCAGCACACGTGTTCCAGTGGTGGTTCAGCGCACCCACAACAACCCATGTGGCTCTTTCTACTACCCCTACAGCCATCCCGGTGCCTCCATCCCAGCAGTGGTCTGCACTGACAGAGTTTGGAGAGCAGAGAGGGCTGTGATGGCTTCCGGCACGACTCCAAATCCTTCATAGGGGAGGTCCATAAACCTACACGGATCATACGAGTTTTGCAGTGCGAAAACAAAAAGGAAACTGAAGAAACAAACAAACGAACGAACAAACAAAAAGAACAAAAAAAAGGGGGGGGGGGGTGGCTGTACGGTTTCAATGCAAACGGTTTCATTGCTGCAGCAGCTTGACCAGTGCAAGTATGGAAAGCAAGTATTTTTGTGCCAAATGTATGGCAGTTCGCTTTACTAGCTTCCAAGCACGTTCCTACAGCATGGAATGGACACCCCGCACTTGCAGTGTTGCCTCTCTTCCCTGCTCCATACTATACTGCCCTTCCCTCCCCCTATCAACCCCACCTCACTTCCTCCTTCCCCCCTGCACCCTCTACCCCTTTTCCGAAGCGCACATCTCATCACAGAGCTCACAGGTCGGTGACCATGCCGTGTTGGTCACACGCCACTTCCCAAGAAGCAACTTCGCCGCCATGATTGTCTTCGATCACGTTCTTCCACTCGTCACAGAACACGTTTGAAGCGCTGCTCCCCCAGAGAAACCCCAGGGCAACAAGCGCTTGTACTGGGGGGCGGAAAGGCAGGAAGAAGGGGAAGGTCATGGCTCGTCCGCAAGCCAAGCAACTCCCTCCGCCCATGATGTCAAATGGACAGCTTCAAAACGTACTTACGTAGCCCTGGCTGAATGGTGTAGCAATTGCACATTAGAATCATACTTTAAATGAATCATGAATTAACCTTTCCCCTACTAGACGAATCCAAATTTTCTACACGTGATGATCGATCATGCGTCAATCCCGCTCAATCCAAAAACGCAACCTGGTTGTCATTTAAAGCAGCGGTCTACTACCTTTTCACGCCCTGATTGGAAAGCGAAGTCAACACGTTTCTGAAACACAAGAGCAATGAAGTCACACAAGCACGCAAATACCCATTTTCGTGTGTTGGGGGAAGAGTCTGCGGAAGGGCGGAAACCACTGGAGTTCGATATTTGGGGGAAGGACCCCCACCCCTCTCTCCCCGCCCCCCTCAACCGTTCGCTTAACATGAAAGGGAGCCTGCGTGAAAAGCTTGGTCACCCTGTTTTCAAGTGATAAACCAGAGCCTTCCGCTCGAAGTAATGTAGATCGCAGCTTTAAAACAGGAAAGACCCGCGCCTGCAAGAGGCCCTAATCACAAGCCTTATAGCGTCCTTTAGCCTCACACGGCTGAAATTCTTGTTTCCACAAGCCATCCACCATGATGATTCGGCGACAAAGAATTAGACTTACACTGCGAGGGTTGGTGCTTGATGCGCGCCTGACTCGGCGTTGCGGTCGCAGCCACCTGGCGCGGGCGACGACTCGTCGAAGGCGGGCGACGCATCACGGAAATGGCCGCCCGTCCGATACGCTCTCGCCGACCATCCGCCACACGGTAGGCACTACTTGCAGCGGCGAACGCGAGAAGCATGACGACGGCCAGCACGCGACAGGCAAAGTAGAGAGGGACGAACGTCGAGTTTTGCACCATGATCGTTCCAAAAAAAATATCCCAAAAACAATCATGATACAATGTCGAATGACTCAACAATCCATCTCTGAGGAACATTGAATGATGACTACCATGAGCATTTCATGCGAAAGGGGCAGCAATGCTCGAAGATGGGTTGAGGAAGGAATGGGAGGAGTCCTCAAACTTTGCGCATAGTAAACCTAAACAATGCCAGATGATTGTTTCCGGAAAAAAAATGTCCCTCCCGCTGGACTCGATAAAGGTACAAGACGTCCTACACCATTTGGTGTTACATTTTAATAGCAGACACTAGAACATACAGGAGAAATTAATTGTGATTATAGCGATTGTTAAAATATTATCACGTTAACGGTCGGAAGGGTATAAACCAGAGTGCAATATTTGAGTTTTCTAACAACAGCTTTCAATTTATAAATACACAAAAAACAACCAATAGTATAATTATTTTCACCAGGGGGTGATATTCGGACTTCCAAACACGATGTAAAAACGTGTTACTAGGTTAGCAATACCGTAACCCTATTTTATTAATTACTATAATAGTAATGTAGACAAAGCAAAACTCAATGGTAAGACACAACATTACCACATAAACGGATCGCTAAAGCGACCGACAATGCAAAGCACAAAGGTGACCTGCATATACGAGCATACGACACAGAAACAGATAACCTCGTGTGCCGCAGAACCTAAAATCGATCAAAGGCGCGCAGCAAGGCAGTGAAATGTCGAGTGCTCGATGAAAGAGAAATTCAACCTGTCAGAACACGGACAAATAGAAAAACGAGATTAGAATAGACAACTAAATCGACGGAAAACGTCACGACAGGCGTAGAACAAGGAGCTATTGGAATAGGCCGTCGGCGCGATTAGCGTGGGCGCCTACACAAAGTGCCGAGGCTACAGCTTTCTGCACATTTTTCGGAGTCAACACTGACAAAGGTGAGGGTTAGGCAGCTTTTGCAAAGCTTAAATAAACACGTACAGCTTATGAAGAGGGAGCCCGCAACGATGTGTGCATGCTTTTCGCCCGCGCCAACAGCGGACCGACAACCATCTAGAGGGAGGAGGGGGGAGGAAGGATTACGTAGGGGGTGTTAGAGAAGAAACATGGCGGAAGCAGGCCAGATTTCGCGGCAAAGAAGAAGCTACGATGGAAAAACGGGTAAGTGCTGAGAAACTGAGCAGAGGCAGAAACTGAATCTGGAAGGAAAAAAAAGAGGTCTGACTGAGTAGTTGTATGGGCCGCTGAAAGGATGCACGGGGTGTTGGGTTGGAATCGAAGTTGGATGAACAGACTCGATACCTTTGCCAGGCTGTACCAACATTAGCTGGTTGTCGCTCAATGACTGGCTCGCTTCCGCCAGCTTGCGCGTTGGTGGATTGAGTTTCCACCAACAGGGGCTATTGGTGGATTCGTTTCCACCAATTCTCGGATGGACTGCGGCGCGCGTGTTTGATTCGCGTTGGAAAGAACTCCATTGAGTATCCACCAACAGAAGCTGACGCGTCACATGTTCCTGTTCTCCAACCCACGTGGATGAGGTTCACTCGTGGTGCCATATTCTAGCAGGCACGCAAAAACACTGATATGGTTTGAGCAAATACCATATAATTTATTTGTGAGGTGTCGAAGGATCTTATACTAAACACACCATGTGTATAGCGAGTCGCCTTTGCTCGATTGCTTGGCTTGAAACACATGTAGAAGGGGCGGTCATCTGCAGGTTTCTTGTCCGAAACTTTGCAGAAAGATTTGCCGTGCGAGCAATCCACTTGGTATGCCTAAAGTTTCCCCCATCTATTTTGGCACGTAGATACCTATGCATACCATTAGAAAAAAAACGTTTGGATGCTTCATTTTTTTGGGACGATGACAATTAAAAATAGAGGAACGAGGCTTGCAAAGAAACAAGTACATCCTCCGTACGGAGAAACCTGGAAAGGCTACAAGCACGAGGGTCACTGGAGGGAGCGAAAAAAGAAGAGGCCGCCCTGAGGCTTTTCTGGAACTCCACGCTTGCGGAGAATGAGCAAGGAGAGTTGTGTTCGGAGGGGTGATGCTCGTCGACCTCTCCCGAGTCCCAACCTTGCACGTTCCGCGAGGACAGAACGGGAAACGGGCCCAGTGCACCTCACCCGAACCTGACCCAACTACAAAAGAAAACCCGGCTAATCATTCCTAGCAGGCGGGCTATAGTAGCGAGATGAACCGTCTATGATACCCTCGCGGTGGG